GGTACTCACATATATCATCAACATAAGGAATAAAGTTAATTTTTATACTGTCTATACAGGTAAAGTATTTGGGGGAAAAAAAAGGTTGCAGAGAATTCTTACAGACTCAAATTCTAATCACTGCACCCAAATACATCCAGTTGTGTTTGCCCACATACTCTGGATATATATTTTACTGGATTTTTTTTTTAGTATTTATTCATAAACTGCTAATTCTAGAGCCAAGGTTCATCTCACAGTACTGAAGTTATCTGAGTTAGAAGTCAGTATCCCCAAGCTCCTTAAACAATCCACCAGGGGAGACAGATTTCAAGTGGACTGCAGAGTCCACTACAGGTGCTCACAACTCTGCAGGACTCAGAGTGTCTCCATGATAACCTGATACTTGGATAAGAGCCAGCAGTTAGATAATATGAGCCCATTTCTAGCATCCATTTTATTTTTCTTAACTGATGGAGTCAATCAATCCTTTCCGCACAGGAGACCTGCAGAAGTCAAAGTGAGGTAACGTTGTCCTCCATACACTTCACCTATCTCCAACATACCAAAGGCTTTCCCAGCTGTTTCAACCATCAAGGCACCGCTTCCTCCGGTCTACATTAGCTTTGACTTTGACTTTAGAAGTCTCCTCCTTTCTGGTTTCGTTGCAAGCCACTCAAAAGAGTACTGACCAATTCATCTAATACTTTCTGTTTGGCCTTCTTCAGCTTCACAACTGACTCAGACATAAAGTCTTTGAACATAAACTCTATCACAGTCCAATATTCCCTGCCTGTGTAATCTCATAATGCATTGAAACATCAGAGGTCTCCTTTACCCTTCCAGCGATGCCACATTCAATCACATTTTGCTCTGCTTTCATCTTAATACTACTACATTCTTCTAGTAGCAAAATAACCAGTCTTCAGCTAGCTTTGCTTAAATACTTCTTTTTTGTATTAATTCATCAGCAGTGCCCATAGTGCCTTCCTCTCCACCACTGATTGAGCAAGTGTCAAGGTAATATATTGTCCAAACTCTGTCCATTCCCTCACAAGCTGGCCCCATCTCCACAGATATATATATTACACTGCTGTGGTCTGGTCTGTCAGGAATGCAAACTGTGAGCTCAGAAGGACAGGAACTGCCCTGTGATTTGAGGTAATGAGGTCCTGATCCACAGTCATTACTGTAATTTTAAGGTTTAACAAGAAGATCAGACAGCTGCAATGTCATTAAGTTGAGAGAGACAGCATTAGTCTGCTACACACTACATCTGTTTCTTTTATTCAGGCCAGAGTTTGAGAATGATAGCAACTCTCTGACTATTAATGGATCAATTAAAGGAGGGAATTTTTCCCATTTTACAAGAAAAGTGTGTAGACATTTTTTTCAGTTACATATCTAACTTTTTGTGGTTTCTAGAGTAGACAGTAACTTTCAAGCTCCTTGCTTATCGAGTCATATCTGATGGACAATGCCCCCTTATTTCAGCATCCCAGGATCACCACTGACTTCGGATGAATTTTCCAGTAAGGTACAGGTCACTTAAAATCTACAACAACTCAATCAGTAATGCTAAGTCATCAGAGTGGCTGTCTTTTCCTGTGTGATAATGTGGAAAATTATCAGCACAGGGACTCAGCACACAGGGTTGTAAAAGGAGTAAAACTATTTCCATAGAAGTACGCTGAATTAAAATGCACGTTGCTCTCGTTCCTGCTAGTACAAAGAATATTGGATTTGTTATATAGGGAAACTTGTTAAGAGACACTGATTTTCAAAATTGTTAACAACTGGGACATAATCAGAGGTGGGCAGAAGAGGATATATATGTTTTTCTGATAGTTCTAATAGATCAGAAAAGCTGTTGTGGTTTGGGTTTTAAATCCAAACCCTGCATGAGCATCAAGAATCATATCATAGATATTTCTGAAGAAAAATAATTATGGAAATAGCTGCAGAGTGACTCAAAGATGTAGCCATCAGTGCTCAGCATCTGTAAGCATCTTGTGAGCAAATTTTTTGTGATAAACAAGTGAAATGAAAAGGTAGGATAAGAGGTGGGTGAAGGAAGGTAAACAATCATAAAGCAAACTGTATTCTTAGTTAAAACAAATCTAGAACACACATTTGAGCACCTGATCTGGTCTGAGAAGATTCAGAGTATAACGCAGCCTCTCACGAGAGTTCGTCCTCCTTCCCCTACATTGTTGCATTGCCTGTGCACTGAAAACCTGTCCCCTGCAGCACTGGATATTCATTACGCATTTCCTCAGCTCCATACTTTCTCCAATGTGATAAAAATCACCAAATATGAAAAAATGTTCAAAAACATACCTCAAATCACAGTTCATTGAGCTTGTTATACATAATTTAAAATAGTTAACATGAGAGAAAAATGAATAATTTAGCAAAAATAAGAGGGGGGAAAAAACAGGAAACAAAGCAGCAATAAAAAAAATCAGTTTGACAGAAGGATTCACTTTGGCTACAAGTCTTCATTTTCTGCTAGGACCTCCCAATCCTGGCTTAGTTCTGGCTTTAGTGCTTCCTTTAAGGATTCAGTGACAGGCATACCCTGCATTAATCTTTTATGGTTTATGTTATATCGCTTTGTGGTGCAGTACTGACTCAATAACCTTCTCCCTTTACGTTCTTGCAATACAAAACGCTTCTGGTTCCGGTTGTCTTTGTAGTTTTTGTCCTGCAAAAATTTGAAACTAGAGATGTGAACAAGAGTTTCTTTCTGAAGAGACCGTGGGGAAGGGCTGCTCTATCCTCTTCTAAACGCCGGTTTCCCACACGACGGTAAATTCATGTGAAGATTGACACAGAGCTGACGAATTCACATTTCTCCATTCATTTCTTTCATTATCTGAAGTATTTGTATTTCGCCGATAATTTTGCACGCTGTGGTGACACATCTTTGCTGGCATTTGTCCTTAATTTATACCTCCATGACTTTAAACGAAATATTTGCCACCTCACCTAAAAGGAGCTCAAATAAGTTACATTCCTCTGCGGATCGATCATAAATATTTATCTGATCTTTGGTCCACCGAGCGTTTTTATGTAACACTTAACATTTAGAGCTCTTCAACTTACTGTTACTTTTGGATGCTCTCTAGTCAACACTTCTCTTAACAGACGTTTTACAGCTCCTCTTTGCCTTATTAGTTCATTCACCAGGTGTTCTAATGAACGATACGCATCATAAATAAGCACTTCTCTGAGCGACACTCTCCCTGTTCGCTAGTAAGAATAAAAGCAGTCTCCCCGCTATTTGCTCTTTATTTAGCCATAGGCATGCCATTAAATCGTTAAAGCGGACACAACGCCGCCGAGCACTGCCGCAGCAGCGGC